GATTAGATTTTGAATGAATTTTCGTTTCGAAATGTCTGTCTTACCACATAGTTTTTGGCTTCCATGTCGGTGTGGTTCTCCACCAAGATTTGGGCTGCTTCTCGTTGGCCCCAATGGGCTGCCGCGTGTAGAGGAGTCCAGCCATCAACATCCTGCTTATCGACGTCGGCTCCGCATTGAAGCACAATCCTTAAAACGCAAATATTAGTAAACATTTTGATCAAGTCGAAAGCATTGATTTATAATTACTTGATCACATCGAGGTATCCTTTTGCAGCAGCCACGTGCAGAGGTGTAGCTCCGGTCTTGGGGTTCGGATCGTCGACCAGTGAACTCTTGTTGGCAAGCCACTGTTCGGCGTCCTTCAGCATCAAACTCTTCTCTTCGTTACGAGCCTCCTCCGGATCGATACCTGCAGATTTAACAATTCACAATGAACCATCAAAATTATTCTACTCGTTCGTCGTACCTTGCTCGTCAATCTCCGATTGTATGAGCTTCTTCATCTGCTCGATGTCGGCTACATCTATGGCAAGGTCTCCGTCGCAATTGACGGCTGCCACGTTGGCACCCTTCTCGATCAGGTACTTGGCTATCGACACGAAGCCGCAGCTCACCGTCGCGTGGAGAGGAGTCCATCCTTCGTTGTCGCCACGATTCACGTCCGCTCCATACTCCACAAGGAACTCCACCATATCCAAATTGTCGTCTATACATGCCTGAAAATAATAATTAATAAAAGTAAAATCAATTAAATATACTCAATTTACACAAACAAAAATGATTCAATGATATTGCAAACCCATAACCAAAATATGATGACCAATCAGCTTATTACCTATAAATATCGAATGTGTTCGAAAAACTATTCTTAAACAAGCTCCGACTAAAAATATACGGAAAGCGACTTATGTAACATCATCAATTTGGATTTCTTAGAAAATCGAATACGACAATTATAGATAGTATTGACATATCACAGCCTTACAATATATGGACAAACTCTAAGAAAAGATGAGAAAAACAGCATTTAACATTCTAATTTCGAACATATTATAAATTAACTTATTATTTAGACTTAAGTCAGTTGACATACTTAATTATAAAGTAAATATGTTTAGAAATCTGAAATACTTGATGTTTTTGTTTTCCTATGTAAAATATATTGATAATATCGTATTGCTTTCATTGCGGTTGCCAATAAATATTTGTTATTATTTCACGGTTTAAAGTTTAGTTGAATAAATAATACAGTGGATTCTGACCGAATTCCCACGATGTTTGGGCAAACAAAAAACATATTTTTGGTATTCCATAGCAATATTTGATTTTGAAGACATAGAATTTTCAATATCTTTATATGAAATTCTTTGTAATTTTTATTAATCAACTTAATCTTAAAAAGACTTAATGCAGTGAACTAAATCAGTAATTAAACCAAATCAATACAATTTAGATTTGAACGACATTCCCAATTCTATTTATCAAATTAGATGTAAATATTTGTGATAAACATTGAAAGTTGTTGAAAACAAGAATAAAATTAACTTAAACACATTTATTTTACTGATAAATTCAATTTATATGATGATCCGACAATCTAAATACAAAGCCTTTGGGTATAAAATTTGCAGATTGAAGATGATTCGAATCGACGAATAACATCAATACGGCTTATAACTATCGATAGTAATGACTAGTCCTATGTAAACGATTAGTGTTTTAAAATATCTTTCAGCAATTTCCACGAAACGCTAATATTTATAAATTCCAAATTTTTTTCGCATAAACAATTTGATTAAATTCGGTTTTCTTGAAGCGCAAAATAAATTTACTTATGAACTAGGTAGATAATACATGGTAACTATCATCGATTTTCCAAATAATGAATGTTCGAAACACAAATATTTTTGTAAGCTCTCCGCACATCGTTAGTCACTTGATGATGGCGATTGATAAGATAAGTATTATCAATGTCATGCAACCTGATCTTAAAAAAAAATCAATCAACGAATTGAAAAATGTACATCCCAAAATCGGTACCAATATATTACTTTTTTTCTGGGTGTTCGTGTGTTATCATCATTATTATTTTTTTGGATATCGTCCAACCTGTGTCGGCTATTTTTTGGCGCTCTGACCCATCTTCATAAAACTTACTACACACACGCATCGAATTTAGACCGCAAAACCGATTTCGACATCCACCTCGATCCTGTATACTTTTATATATATATTATTTTTTCCTTCTTTTCGCTCTCAAACATCTCTCTTCCACTCGCAGCTAGTGAGGGGAATAAGAGGAAAACGTTTGAGCGTGCGTTTGAGAGAGGAGAAAAAAACGAGTTCTAAACGCGTTACGAAACAGGCGAATTATGAAACGATAATAATCATATTAATGATAATAATACCGAAACGGTTGTTTGTTTTCAGTAACAACAGGAAGCACGAAAGCGAATGTGTATCTCGGTCAGAGGCACAAAAAAAAACATTATATAAATACATCGAAGATTCGAAGGAATTCGCCGCGATTCCTAAAGAAAGCAAATTGCTCCATTAAACGAAATTAAAAATTATACGTGGATTGTTTTTTTTTCGTCGTCGATCATCATTTGCGAATGAATATGCAGCAAATTCGAACTTCCTTTTTGCCCGGTTTTGCCGCTGCACGAGCTCCGAGTTTAGATGCGGTCCAAATTTAAAATTGACGCAAATGTAGCCATTAAGGCTGCAAAATGCTCTCGTGCTATCGGGAAATCATCTTACTCTATATCTCGAGAGTGTAAGCAAAAGCTCTAAGAGTACTTTATTATTATTTGCGGCATGTTTGCTGCGCGTTGGTGAATGCCGCTGATAACGGGGCAGACAATATCTGCAGGACTTTGCGGTTTTTCGTTGGAAAATCCTTCTTTTTGTCTTCAGTTTGTCGAAACGGGTAGCAAAAGCTACGACGAGCAAGCAAGCAAGCAAGAAGTACAGCTCGAGTCGCATTGGCGGAGGAGCTCACACAACATTATTAATGCTCGTAACGTGTTTAACCTTTGAATTGGAAAGGTCCATTCGCTATCACATCTCATGAATACAATCAGACATCCTTCTTTTTTTTATTATTATATATAATCATTCCTAAAGTGCACTCCATTATTAACCAATTATTAAACTTTAGAGTTTAACGTTTATGAAAATTCTAATCTTTTACAGAAATGCTTCATTTTCAAATTGATTTATTAATATTATACTGTTAAAATCTTTAATTTCCAAACTTGCAAAGAAAAAGTAGAAAACAATATTTAACTTAATTTTGTGGGTACAAAATTAATGAATAATTGGTATAAAAGAGTGAGTGAGAAATACTACAAAATTATCGATTGTCGACAATTTAAGCTATTTCTTACTATGACTTAAGAATTTTCGATGCAAACAATTTTTTAGTTTTTGGTAGCTTAACGTCTGAATTGATGTGAAATGGTCAGATTATTATAAATTTTATAAGAAATGACAGTAAATACTAATAAACCTAAAATTTTATTCAGTTGTTTTCATTGATTATTTTATGAATCTTAATTAGCTGACTAAAATTAGAAATTGTTTAAGATTCATAATTGCATATTAAAATAACTTTAATATTTGATGTGAACTTTAAAATTGACTTCAAATTTGTGTTTCATGGTTGAATATCATCTATGAGAACTAAAAATCTAGGAAGATATTCGAAAAGTAGTTCAAAGTCTTTAAAATTGCGAGTTTAACAATTATTTGAAATTTGTGTATTATAGATGAAAGCCTGTAAGAGTCCGATTTTTCAGATCATGAACGATTTTGCTTCAAATATGTGTATATAATGTTTGAGATAAGAATTCAAGCAAAAATTTCGGGGGGAAAATCCAGAATTTGGGATGATGAACGATCAGAATTTATAACTTCATATTTCTGTTTGGCGGTTGAGAGTCTATGAGAGCCAAAATTCTAGGAGCTGTAAGAGTTCGCATAAATTAAAGGCCCAAACGATTTGAAACTAAATCCGAGGGATGCACTCGAGTGACGCGATCGGATTTCCAGAAGGCGATACCTGTGTCGGGTTTCGCGCACGTTCAGAGCACGTGAAGTCTCTCCCCGTCTGAACAGAAGAACACCATCCAACTACACCGACAAAGTGCAGGTGGATTTTGGATGCAAGTGGTGCACCGTCGCGCAAAGAAGAGGACAGGAGAGAGGCAATTTACTGCAAAGGCTAACAATTAAAGCGGGGCTGTAAATTAATCGTCGCCGCGATCCCAAAATATATATAAACGTACGCACGAACGAAGCTTGCTTGGATGCCGGTCGCGCGCCTTCAGGAAGTTGTTTTTCGCGTTTCCTGGCGGGCCTTGAGGAACACCAGTTTCGCGTCAAAATTCCGTGGCCATTATAAATTTAAACGTTATGTGGGTAAGGAGGTATGAAGCGGTCCAGAACGTCTGGATGACGTCTGTAAGTTGCGTACGTTCCAATGTATTGGTGGTGTGTATGTATACACACACAATGTGTGTGTGTGTTGCTTGGTATATCGGGTTTATATATATATAGAAGGTACGAGAGTGTCGCTGACCCTGATGATGGCAGTACTCGCGAAAACGCGTATCGCACGCGATTCCCACTGGGGAAACTCCACACGACGACACGACTATTAATAATTCCCAAAGACCGACGACGACGACAATTTCCCACCAACAAATTATTCTTCTTAAAAGAAAAACCCACCCATCCTAGAGAATTTCCCAGGCAGTCTTTTCACACAAGAAGAAAAGAAAAGCCAAAAAAAATGGCAACGTCAAAGGGAAAGATGAAGAAAGAAAAAAAAACGGAGAACCGAAGCGAAAATCCGCTCCACATTGGCAGCAGCATAAACACCGGCGGCGCGCCAGAACCGGCGCTTTAACCATCCCGAAAATAGTTCCATCCGCAATTGTTCAACAATCGCTTTATTCCTGGCACGAAGGGAGCGAATGCGTCAAGAAGAAAGAAACGAAAGGAGAATAGCGGAGAGAGTCGAATGAATATGTGTGTATCGTAATGCATCATTGTATTTACGATGGCTGGAAATAGCGCGCGGTTTATGCAACTGGACTGAAAAAGCAGACAGACTGCAATGATGACGATGATGTTGAAAGAGGATTCATTTTCACTATTCCGGGGACGAGGCAGGAAATCTAAAGATTAAAAAAAGGAATACAATTTTAAAAAAGAAGGAGAAGGATTTAAACGCATTCGTGGTACAAGATGAGAAATGAAGGAGCAGGCAGGATGGACGGACGAGCTTGTCTTCAGAGTTTTGAGGTCCGATCCGAGCTTGTCATGATGCTGCTGTAGCTGGCGGCTAGAGAGAGGAGAGCGCTCGCGGCCAGAGAAGAAGAGTGAGGGATTTATTTTTAATTGTATTTTTGTACACTTGGCAGCGTTCCATTATAAATCCACTATGGACAGAAGCCTATAAAAGCCGTTTGGTGTATTCTTTTATATAAATGGTCGAATTCCGATTGCGATTGCGATCGACGGACGGACAAACATACACACGAACGCACGCACGCACACACACATGCACACGGCGCGGATCGAGCAGGAATGCGTTTCGAAAAATTTACTGTACTCGAGGAGTCGCTGCTTTGCTGCTGCTGCTGCTGTTGTGTGTGTGTACTTCTTTCTGTTTTGTTCGAATGCACATCACGAACCACAAATACAC